AATATACACTACACTACACACTACACTATACACTACACTATACACTACACTATTACTATACACTACACTATACACTACACTATTACTATACACTACACTATTACTATACACTACACTATACACTACACTATTACTATACACTACGCTATACACAACACTATACACTACACTATTATTATACACTACACTATACACTACACTATTACTATACACTAATATAAACTACACTATACACTATTACTATACACTACACTATTACTATACACTACACTATACACTACACTATACACTACACTATTACTATACACTATACACTACACACTAAACTACACACTACACTATTACTATACACTACACTATACACTACACTATACACTACACACTAAACTACACACTACACTATTACTATACACTACGCTATACACTACACTATACACTACACTATGATACGTAGCTTTAGTGATTTCATTTCAATTTTACCACGATACGATACGTTCAATGCATGCTAAAAGTTAATTTTTATAGCAGATAGGATTGTTTCCTGAACAAACTTCATATTAATTTGCAGTTCATATAGGTAGGCTAAGAATTTACCTTGGTTTTTTTACTTTAAATGTTACTGTGCAATACAGTCTTGTAATTAATAAGTACACACAGGATATAGTCTATGCAGTACGCTACTGTAACTTGCTCTGTTTTGCTAGATTACCACCGTCCTGTAAGACTCCTGGCTAGGCTAGAGGCCATCTTCGACTTACGATATTTTCGACTTACGATGATAGGGTCGTTGTAACGCTTCTCCATCGTAAATAGAAGTGACATTCAGATCGACATCACATGCCACCCTCCATCTGCATTGCTCCTTCTGCTGCTGCTGCTGAGTTCAACAACTCGGCAGCATCAGCGTCACCGCCACGCAAAGTAGAGGAAAGGTAAAACCATCATTTAAATGTTTGTATAAATATATATTCAACTTAACTAATTCGTCATCTATATACAGATAACATGAAAACACGATCTTGTTTATCGATATACAGATACAGCTTAACTACGTGTTATCCATATACAGATAAAACTAAACTAGATTTAATCGGTATACAGATAATTGATATACTCTTAGGTTTTTTTCGGTAAAACTACGTAGGTAAGAAAAGTTATAAAATTATAATAAACGAAAAATAACTCAATTGTGATGTAATTTAGTTATTTTTCATTTATTATAATATTTTCCTATTTTTTTCCCACGTGACTTTACCGAAAAAACCTAAGAGTATGAATCCTTGCAGTTACGAAAGCTTCAAATCTCAAAGAAAATTGACGTATTTTAAAATCCTTTATATTAAGTTCACTTGCTTGCTTGCGCGCTTACGACCGTGCAAATCTTTCGGTCGTTTTTAACCCACTTCCCGTGATTCAATCGAGCTGACATTTTGCAAACAGACTCGTTGTGCGTGACAATTTATTTTAGTGAAAAAAAATTCCAAAATTTTCCACTTTTTAGGAAAAAAACAATTATCAACATGAATAAAACAGAGGGGACGAAAGGGGAAAAACATATATTTTTTTAATTGTGAGTTTATTTAAGAAGTCTGTACATAAGCCAGGTTTTCATCATGCTACATGTAGCCCCAGTGGCCTAATGGATAAGGCACTGGCCTCCTAAGCCAGGGATTGTGGGTTCGAGTCCCACCTGGGGTTGCTGAGAAAAAGCTGTTTATTTTGTAAAATCAAAAAGTCAAGTTAACGAATCTGATAATGAAAAGCCAAAATGGCGCTGTGCCTATAGAAGAGAGTTTTAAAACAGTGTTCAGTTATACTCTTTGGTTCTTTCGGTAAAGTTACGTCGGTATAGTGTCCATCATCAGGTGATGATGATGGATGCTTGTGTTGATGATAGACGCTTGTGTTGAGCCCGAAACGTCGTGATTTATTTTATTTTACACCTACGTGAATTTACCGAAAGAACCAAAGTGTATGGATTCCTGAAGTCACGAAAGCTTCTAATCAAGAGAGCTTTAAACATTCTAGATTTGAAGCTTTCGTGACTGCAAGGATTCATATTCTTAGGTTTTTTCGGTAAATTCACGTAGGTAAAACATTAAAATTAATAAAAGTAAAATTTTACTTTTTTTTACTTTTATTAATTTTAATGTTTTACCTACATGACTTTACCGAAAAAACCTAAGATTAAGAGTTTTAAACAGTGTACTTTGGTGACAATTATCAACATTGATAAAGCAGAGAATAAAAGGGGAAAATACATATCCATTTCTATTATTATTAAATCCTTTATATTAAGTTCACTTGCTTGCTTACTTGCTTGCGCGCTTACGACCGTGCAAATCTTTCGGTCGTTTTTTAACCCACTTCCCGTAATCCAAACGAGCTGACATTTTGCACACAGACTCGTTGTGCGTGACAATTTATTTTCGTAAAAAAATGTTTCCTAAATTTTCCACTTTTTAGGAAAAAAACAATTATCAACATGAATTAAACAGAGGGGACGAAAGGGGAAAAACATATTTTTTATTGTGAGTTTATTTAAGAAGTCTGTACATAAGCCAGGTTTTCATCATGCTACATGTAGCCCCAGTGGCCTAATGGATAAGGAACTGGCCTCCTAAGCCAGGGATTGTGGGTTCGAGTCCCACCTGGGGTAGCTGAGAAAAAGCTGTTCATTTTGTAAAATCAAAATGCCAAGTTAACGAATCTGATCATGAAAAGCCAAAATGGCGCTGTGCCTATAGAAGAGAGTTTTAAAACAGTGTTCACTTATACTCTTTGGTGCTTTCGGTAAAGTTATTTCGGTATAGTGTCCATCATCAGGTGATGATGATGGATGATAGACGCTTGTGTTGATAATAGATGCTTGTGTTGAGCCCGAAACGTCGTGATTTATTTTATTTTACACCTACGTGAATTTACCGAAAGAACCAAAGAGTATGGATTCCTGAAGTCACGAAAACTTCAAATCAAGAGAGTTTTAAACAGTGTACTTTGGTGACAATTATCAACATTGATAAAGCAGAGAATAAAAGGGGAAAATACATATCCATTTCTATTATTATTAAATCCTTTATATTAAGTTCACTTGCTTGCTTGCGCGCTTACGACCGTGCAAATCTTTCGGTCGTTTTTAAACCCACTTCCCGTGATTCAATCGAGCTGACATTTTGCACACAGACTCGTTGTGCGTGACAATTTATTTTCGTGAAAATTGTTTTCCAAAATTTTCCACTTTTTAGGAAAAAAATAATTTCACAAACACAATCATATATTTTTCCTAAACACAGAAAATTATTCAAGAAAACAACAAAAATGTACAATATAAACAATCATACAAAAACTGAAAACCTTATAATCCTTATATACGACTTTCCTTATATTTAATTTAAAATAGCAAAGTGATAAAAATGAATCTCTTACTCAAGAAAAACAGAAATGAATAATAAAATAAAACCGATGCCACGCATATAAGGATTTATAGTGAAAAACTTTGTTTTTACGGGTTAATTTTTTACAAGTGATTTGTCCACCTTTCCTTCACTTATCGTGCTTTTGTACTGAATGTTCTCATGTCCTGACCCCGTGACCGGCGTTTGTGTAAAAGAACTTGATAGCGCATCGGAATGAAGACCTTCATCTGTATTTCTAAAACACCTCAATGCTTCTAGATTTGAAGCTTTCGTGACTGCAACGATTCATACTCTTAGGTTTTTTCGGTAAAGTCAGGGTAAAATAAAAAATAAATATTAAATAATAAAATGATGGGAACAATTATAGAAATTAAATAATATAAAATAATATAATAATAATTTTATTTCTATAATTTCTATCATTTTATAATTTATTTATTACTATTTATTTTCCCCTACATGACTGAAATTCGCTGCCTGGATGGCTTTTAGTAGACAAACAACACGTCACAGATGTTCCATTGTAAGACCCCCAAATCTCCCTCCCATCCTTCCCCCTCCTGCCGCCCCTCCCTCTCCTACTCCCTCCCCCCTCCTTCTTGCTCCCCCCCCTTCCTCCCCTCCTAGCCAAGTGAAGGGAGCCCCCCCCCCCCCCGTCCGACCACCCTCCCTGCCCCCACCCCGATGGCGGCTTCTTTCTCCACCACCACCACCACCACAGCCGCCGGCGGCTTCGTGGCGTTGCTGGTGTCTTTGCTGCTTGGCGCTCTTTGTGACCCCCCCCTCGTCCTGCCCCTTGACCGTGAGTAGCCCCCCCCCCCCTCTACAGCACATAAGGTGCGCCTTTGGCGTCATCTGGTCCAACCCATGTGAGACTAGGCTCTAAGGAAAGCTGTCTCGGGTGTGGACCAATCAACTTCAAGGACCATGTGAGACTAGGCTCTAAGGAAAGCTGTCTCGGGTGTGGACCAATCAACTTCAAGGACAGTGCACATCATCAGTTATGTTTTTTGTTTGCATTACGATCGCAGGTATTGTGGTCAATGCAAACATGACTCCTTGTAAAAAAAGGGTGTCAGTTTTGTTGCCATATAAAAGGGTAAAAAAACAATGATCATATTTTTACTGGCAAATGAGGTTCCAATGGTGTAAATGCTTACCCCGAGCTCTCATACTCTGATGGTGCATTGTCTTTGAGTTGTGCGCCTTTTGGCGTCATCTGGTCCAACCCATGTGAGACTAGGCTCTAAGGAAAGCTGTCTCGGGTGTGGACCAATCAACTTCAAGGACAGTGCATACATTATCAGAGTTATGTTTTTGTTTGCATTATGGCTGCAGGTATTGTGGTCTATGCAAACATGACTCCTTGTAAAAAGGTGTCAGTTTTGTTGCCAGATAGAAGGGTAAAAAAAACAATTATAACACCTAAGGTCTTCGCTCATTTACCAGCTTCACATTCCCTGTTGCCGTACAAATACTGGAGGAAGGGCCTTTGCTATTGATGCCCCCAGGGTCTGGAATGCTGTTGCCAATAAACTGCAACATGAGTCACTACCCGTGAGCTAACCCGTTGATCTCTCGCAGTCACTCAGCCCCCGTCCATCACGCGGCAATCGCGGGAGGACTACGTCGTGGACTCACGGGACAACATCGTGCTGCAGTGTGAAGCACACGGCAACCCAGCGCCCACGTACGCTGCACACACCTCCCGCCATCCCTCCCTCCCTCCATCTCCCCTTCTTCCCGACTTCCATCCCTCCCTCCCGACTTACACCCCCCTCCCCACCTCCCTCCCTCCATCCCTAATTCACTCTCTCACTCCCTCCCCCCTCCCTTCCCTCCCCCCTCCCTTCCCTCCCCTCCCTCCATCCCATCCCCACCCCCCTCCCCCCTCCCTTTTTTCCCCTCCCTCCCTCCCATCCCCACCACCTCCCCCCTCCCCCCCCCTCCCTCCCTCCCCTCTCGTGCTGCAGGTTCTTGTGGAGCAAAGATGGCGTCAGCTTTGACCCCGACAGTGACCTCCACGTGCGGCGCCCAGGCGACACTTCGGGGTCCTTCACCGTCGACTTGGCGGCCGCGGCGGCGGCGGAGGGCGGCGGTGACGGTGACAGTGACGGTGACGCGGTGGAGGTCTACCAGGGGGTCTACCGCTGCTCGGCGCGTAACCGGGCTGGCACGGCGCTCAGTGCCAACATCACCGTGAGGCTGGCGCGTGAGTGGGGGGGGGGGGCACGCTCGCACCGTCAACCACCACTCACACACACAGGGCGCTAACCGCTGCACCACCACTCCCCACTCACACACACAGGGCGCTAACCGCTGCACCACCACTCCCCACTCACACACACACAGTGTGCTAACCGCTGCAACACCGCTCCCCACACACACACACAGTGTGCTAACCGCTGCACCACCGCTCCCCACACACACACACAGGGCGCTAACCGCTGCAACACCACTCCCACTGCAACACACAGAGGGCGCTAACCGCTGCACCACCACTCCCCACTCACACACACAGGGCGCTAACCGCTGCACCACCACTCCCCACTCACACACACAGGGCGCTAACCGCTGCACCACCGCTCCCCACACACACACACACACAGTGTCCTAACCGCTGCACCACCGCTCCCCACACACAAAGTTGCTGAACCCGTCCTGGGCCCTCCCCTAGGTCGACTCAGCCTCAAACGAGTACCTAATGCGACGTGTAAACACGTTACCATTGCGGTGTGCGGTGCCTGACCACCAACCCATGCTACTTGCTGGCAGCACTTGCCCCGACGGTCTGTGCAGGCTACACGGGAGGTCTTTGTCTGTACCCTGCAGGCGCCCCACGGTGGCCGCGTGAGCAGCTGGCGCCCGTCATGGCCGCCGTGGGCTCCCCGGCCGTTCTGCACTGCCGCCCTCCTCCCCACGGCTTCCCTCCTCCCACCGTCTTCTGGCTGGACAGCTGTGAGTACCACGCTGGCTATGAGATGTCACAGCTGTGAGTACCACGCTGGCTATGAGATGTGGCAGCTGTGAGTACCACGCTGCCTATGAGATGTGGCAGCTGTGAGTACCACGCTGGCTATGAGATGTTACAGCTGTGAGTACCACGCTGGCTATGAGACGTGACAGCTGTGAGTACCACGCTGCCTATGAGATGTGGCAGCTGTGAGTACCACGCTGGCTATGAGATGTCACAGCTGTGAGTACCACGCTGGCTATGAGACGTGGCAGCTGTGAGTACCACGCTGGCTATGAGATGTTACAGCTGTGAGTACCACGCTGGCTGTGAGATGTCACAGCTGTGAGTACCACGCTGGCTATGAGATGTTGCAGCTGTGAGTACCACGCTGGCTGTGAGATGTTACAGCTGTGAGTACCACGCTGGCTATGAGATGTTGCAGCTGTGAGTACCGCGCTGGCTATGAGATGTGGCAGCTGTGAGTACCACGCTGGCTATGAGATGTTACAGCTGTGAGTACCGCGCTGGCTATGAGATGTTACAGCTGTGAGTACCACGCTGGCTATGAGATGTTACAGCTGTGAGTACCGCGCTGGCTATGAGATGTTACAGCTGTGAGTACCACGCTGGCTATGAGATGTTGCAGCTGTGAGTACCGCGCTGGCTATGAGATGTTGACTACCTCGCCTGGCACGCAGGAGGTCTTGGGTTCGATCCCGACCCTGACGACGCCTGCTGCTGTATATTTGGAGTTTGCGTGTCTCTCTCATCATCATCACGGTGGCTATGAGATGTGGACTACCTCGCCTGGTGTACAGGAGGTCGTGGGTTCGATCCCGACCCTGACGCCTGCTGCTGTATATTTGTAGTTTGCGTGTCTCTCTCTCTCTCCCATCGCGTTGTTTGCATCGTTGGTTGTTGTAACTCGCTGACCCCATGCCCACACTGGACATCCGCGTTCTTCAGCTTCCGCGCGGCCGCTGATGTGGATGCAGAGCGACGGCCACAATGTCACATTCGGGTGGTCGTGCCAGACGACCCCACCCTGAGTAGCGGAGCGGTGAATCGTCCCGTGATGTCCCTTAGGCCCTTCCCCTGACCCCCCCCTCAGGCCCCTCCTCTGATCCCCCCTTCCTTAGGCCCCTCCCCTCTCCGTACCCGGCAGTAGGTCTCCACCAATCAAAGAGCTGTTTGTATTATATATTTATTTATGCACGACAGACAGACAGACAGGTATATAATCCCTGGTGGGCAGTGTGGAACATTTCGATTTAAAGCTTTCGTGACTGCAGGTACAGTGATACCTCGGTTCACGAACTTAATTCGTGAACTGACTGGTCGCGAACCGAATTGGTCGTGAAACGAGGCACATTTTCCCATAGGGTTCAATGTAAATCCGGTTAATCCGTTCTGACCTTTTTTTTTTGGTTTTTGAAGCACAAAAATATTAAACAAATTACAATACACATTAGTACTGTGCAGTATAGTAATGCATAAAGAGAGAACACTAACCTTGCTTGAGATGACTTCAGTAAGCACTCAAACGGGTGAACTGTACAATACAGTAAGTACAGTATTGTACAGTACAGTAGTACAGTACAGTACTGTATGTGCTAAAAAGCACACCAAAAAGCAAAAAGTCACTGAAAGTGTCTTCGCAGTACTCAAAGTACTTCTTTCTGTGTCTCTTCTTCTCTCCACGATCTTCCTACAGGAAGTCACGACCACGTGACAGCCTGGAAATAGCATTAAAATGGCCGCGGCTCCTGTTCGTGAACCGAAGCGGAGTTCGTGAACCAGAGCACATTTTTATTAACTTTTCTGTTCGTGAACGGAGTTGTTCGTGAACAGAAGCGTTCGTGAACCGAGGTATCACTGTATTCATCTTCTTGGTTCTTTCGGTAAAGTCACGTAGAAGGGAAGTAATAAAATAATAAAAAGAAAACATATGTTTTATTTTTATTATTTTATTACTTCCCTTCTAAGTCACTTTACCGAAAGAACCACGAAGAGTGTGGAACATTGTTCCTACCTGTATAACGATTCTGATCTCCTCAATCCCTCCCCCCGCCGCCCCTCCGACTGCCCACCGCCCTCCACCCCGGGGTGGTGCCACCACCACCGCCACCGCCGCCACCACCACCACCGCCACCACCACCACCACCGCCACCACCGCCACCGCCACCGCCGCCACCACCGTCACCACCACCGCCACCACCACCACCACCACCGCCGCCACCACCGCCACCACCGCCACCACCACCACCGCCGCAGCCGTGGAGAAAGTGCCGCTGGATGGGCGAGTAACGCAGGGTCCGGAGGGTGACCTGCATTTCGCCAACGTGCTCCCCGGCGACGAGGGTGACTACGTGTGCCACGCTCGCTACCCGCACACGGGGGGCACCATCCGCCACAAGCAGCCGCTACGGCTGGTCGTCACACGCGGTGAGTGGCGGCAGCGGTGGCAAACGCCGGGAAGTGCGTGCGTGGACGTGTGCGTGTGTGTGTACGTGTGTGTGTGTGTACGTGTGTGTCTACGCGTGTGTGTGTGCGTGGACGTGTGTGTGTGTGGACGTGTTTGTGGTGTCGTGTACGTGTGTACGTGTGTGTGCATGGACGTGTGTGCGTGTGTGTGTACGTGTGTGTGTGGACGTGTGTGTGTGTGTACGTGTGTGTGCGTGGCCGTGTGTGTGTGTGTACGTGTGTGCGTGTGTGTGTACGTGTGTGTGTGTGCGTGTGTGTGTACGTGTGTGTGTGTGTGGACGTGTGTGTGTGTGTGTACGTGTGTGTGTGCGTGTGTGTGTATGTGTGTGTGTGCGTGTACGTGTGTGTGTGCGTGTGTGTGTATGTGTGTGTGTGCGTGGACGTGTGTGTGTGTGTACGTGTGTGTGTGTGCGTGGACATGTGTGGACGTGTGTAGACGTGTGTGTGTGTGTACGTGTGTGTGTACGCGTGTGTGTGTGCGTGGACGTGTGCGTGCGTGTGTGTGTGCGTGGACGTGTGCGTGTGTGTGTACGTGTGTGTGTGTACGTGTGTGTGTATGTGTGTACGTGTGTGTGTGTACGTGTGTGTGTGTACGTGTGTGTGTGTACGTGTGTGTGTGTACGTGTGTGTGTGTACGTGTGTGTGTACGTGTGTGTGTGTGCGTGTGTGGACGTGTGTGTGTGTGTGTGCACGTGTGTGTGTGTACGTGTGTGTGTGTACGTGTGTGTGTGTGCGTGTGTGTGTACGTGTGTGTGTACGTGTGTGTGTGTACGTGTGTGTGTACGTGTGTGTGTGTGTACGTGTGTGTGTGTGCGTACGTGTGTGCGTGTGTGTGTGTGTGAGTGGCTGGCTGAGGTGCCATCTGTTGAGGAAGTACTTAAGGCGATCCGGAGTCTGAGACCAGGAAAGGCACCGGGCAGAGATGATCTCCCGAGCGAAATGCTGAGGGAGGGTGGCGTTTGTGCACATACTGCCCTATATGACATCATAACAACAGTCTGGACCGCTGGACGGGTACCGCAGGATTGGAAGGATGCCCTGGTGGTCCCCCTCTTTAAGAAGGGGGACCGCACAGACTGTAACAACTACAGGGGCATCTCACTCCTCAGTGTGCCGGGAAAGGTCCTGGCAAGGATTATTCAACATCGCCTTGCTAGGCACGCTGAGGAGAGGCTTGCGGAACCCCAATGCGGTTTCAGGAAAGGGCGGTCCTGCACAGATGCCATATTTTCTGTCTGTCTGCTATAGCAGAGGTGTAGGCAATTCCAACAAGACCTGCATCTCTGCTTTATTGACCTGGTCAAGGTTTATGATACCATCAATAGGCCTGGGCTCTGGGGTGTTCTTCGTGCTTTCGGAGTCCCTGACCCTCTGCTCATGATCATTAAGGACCTTCATGATGGTGAGCGGGCCCGGGTAAAACTACGTGGCCGGGAGTCGGAGCCTTTACCTGTACACCTTGGGGTGCGACAGGGATGTCCTTTGGCTCCCACATTATTTAACATCTATTTCGACTACGTAGTTCGTGAAGCCTTCAATAGCTGTACCGGAGAAATTTCCATTTGGTACAGATATAATGGGAGGCTGTTCGACGCCCGGGTGCGATCAAGGGATGGCTCCCTATTGGTCAACCACGTTATGTATGCTGATGATTTGGTAATAGCTGCTCATTCAGAAGAGGAGTTGGAGATGCTGCTGCTGAGACTGGAGCGTGCCACTAAGAGGTGGGGCCTTACCATCAGCCCCCCCAAAACTAAGCACCTGCCTGGGTATTTTGTACCATCGGACACTCCACCCCCACAACTCCCAATCGGTGATGGGGAAGTTGTGGAGAGAGTGGAGAGTTTCCCATACCTGGGCAGTGTGCTTATGACCGGCTCCAGTTTAACAGCAGAGGTCTCACTCCGAATCAGTCGAGCGGAAATATCTTTTCATTGGTTGTGTAACGATGTGTGGAAGCTACCTGGTCTGTCGCTCCGCACGAAGCTTCAGGTCTTCTCGGCCACGGTCATTCCCTCCCTGCTCTACGCTTGCGAAACGTGGACCCCCCTAATGGAGCATCTTCGCCGGTTGGAAACATTTAGGCTGGCCTGCCTACGATCCATCCTGGGTTTAACCAGGCTGGATTGTGTGAGGAGCTCACAAATCCTTGAAAGATCTGGGCAAAGTCCCATCGGTGAGCTCCTCCGGTAGGCAAGGCTGCGTTGGCTGGGTCATGTAGCCCGCATGCCCAGCCACCGCATGCCTAAACAGCTTTTGTTCGGCCGGATCGAGGGGGCTAAACGGGCGCGGCACGGGCTGGAGAAGAGATGGAGTGATGTGGTTCGGGAGGACTTGGAGCTGAGTGGACTTGCCGATGACTGGTACCAGCGGTGTCAAGATCGGCCTCAGTGGAGGAGGCTCGTGAAGGACGCTACTGGGCAGTTGGAGGCAGTCGCCCTCCAACAACAGTGGAGGGCGGAGGAGCGACGCTCACAACAACGAACAGAGCGCCGGGTGGCTAAAGCACAGCAAGTTGGCACAGTAGGGGGCACAGGTGGTGCATCAGCCAGTCATCTCGGTCAACTCGGTCAGTCGACCCGTGGCACCTGCTGGGTCTGCCCCGTGACCTCCTTGCCAGCGGGCGTTCGACACTTCACGTGGCCTCAAGGTGCACTTGGCCTGGCACAAGCGTCGTGGTGACGTCACCGCCACTTAGTGGCGAATGGCGGTTGTTGTTGTGTGCGTGTACGTGTGTGTGTGGACGTGTGTGTGTGTACGTGTGTGTGTGTGTGTACGTCTGTGTGTGTACGTGTGTGCGTGTGTGTATGTGTGTGTGTGTACGTGTGTGTGTGTGTGTACGTGTGTGTACGTGTGTGTGTGTACGTGTGCGTGTGTACGTGTGTGTGTGTGTGCGTGTACGTGTGTGTGTGTACGTGTGTGTGCGTACGTGTGTGCGTGTGTGTACGTGTGTGTGTGTACGTGTGTGTGTGTACGTGTGTGTGTACGTGTGCGTGTGTGTGCGTGGACGTGTGTGTGTGTGTACGTGTGTGTGTGCGTGTGTGTACGTGTGTGTACGTGTGTGCGTACGTATGCGCGTGTTCACATAACCGTCACCGGTGTTGCCCTACGGCGGGAATCAAACTCGGCTCGTGGCCAGCTTTTGTAGCGCAGTGTAGACGCTAACCACTGTGCCACCGCTCCCCGCGCACCCCACGTGGATGATGCACACGCAGAGCGTCCGTCAAAAAGCCGGCCGGTGTTCGTGGAGCCCGCGGGGGAGACGAGCAGCAAGGTGGTGCTCACCGGGGAGACGCTGCTGTTGACGTGCATCACACGAGGCCTGTACGTACACACACGCACGCACACGCACAAGACAAAGATCCCCCGTGTAGCCTTAACAGACTGTAAGGGCAAGTGCTGTTAGCGAGCACCTATGAAGGCCGGAACGGCACACGAGGGGGTGGGTGGCCAGCAACCACGCCCGACTGCCTTTGTCTCCCCAGTGGCGATGTTTACACACCGCACCAGGTACTCATTTAAGGCTGAGTCGACCTAGGGGAGGCCCGGGACCGGTTCAAATAATCGTCACTGTTGGTGTTGGCCGTGAGCGGGAATCGAACTCGTGTCGCCGGGTTCGTAGCGCAGCGCGCTAACCACTACACTACCGCTCCCCACACACACGCACGCACACATCTACACACACACAAGTGCAACACAACAACAACCGCCATTCGCCACTAAGTGGCGTTGACGTCACTTGCGCCAGGCCATGTGCGCCTTGAGGCTACCACGTGAAGTGTCGAACGCCCGCTGGCAGGAGGTCACGGGGCAGACCCAGCAGGTGCCACGGGTCAACTGACACACACACACGTGCACACACACGCGCGTGCGCGTGTGCGTGTGCGTTCCCTGTGTGTGTGTGCGTAGCCCCACGCCGGAGGTGAGCTGGAGCAAGTGGGGTGGGGTGTTGCTGTCGTCGGATGAGGAAGCCGCCCCCCTCGCCGCACCCCCCGGCACGGCTCCGGCACGAGGCCAGCACGACCCCGGCACGACGCTGGCCATCCGCAACGCGACGCTGTCACACGGCGGCAGCTACCAGTGCCGCGCCTTCAACAGCGAGGGTGTGGCGCTGCACACCGTCACGGTCACCGTGGAAGGTGTGTGCACCTGTGTGTGTGTGTCTATGTGTGTGTGTGCCTGTGTGTGTGTCTGTGTGTGTGCACCTGTGTGTGTGTGTTTGTGCACCTGTGTGTGTGTGTTTGTGCACCTGTGTGTGTGTGTGTCTGTGTGTGTGTGCGTGCGTGTCTGTGTGCACCTGTGTGTGTGTGTGTGCACCTGTGTGTGTGTGCGTGTGTGCGTGTGCCTGTGTGCGTGTGCGTGCGTGCGTGTGCCTGCGTGTGTGGGTGTGCGTGTGTGCGCGTGGCGGAGTGGTGGCTCAGGTGTTAGCGCCACTCCATTCTCCCTCCGCTGTCTGGTGGTGCTGCTGCTGCTGCTGCGGTGGTGGTGGTGGTAGTGGTGGTGGCGGTGCTGCTGCTGCAGTGGTGGTGGTAGTGGTGGTGGTGGTGGCGGCGGTGGCGGCGGTGCTGCTGCTGCTGTGGTGGTGGTGGTCCCTGTCTATAGGAAGCCGGCCACACCGATGGTGACTGACACCTCGCTTTGTTAGTTTCCATCAGCCGCCTTTCCCTATCGCAGGTGGGGACCCCCCCCACCCACCCCCCTGTCTGGTTCTGCTTTGACACTCGCTGGTGCCGTGTGACACTGGCCGGTGCCGTGTGAAAGTCACGTGGGTTTGTTCGTCCGAGAGCCGGTCCACCTGTGAGCTACGTAGCTCAGTGGACCTGCCTGGTAACCACACATGTCCCTTGCTTGTCTAGTTGACAAGCAAGGGACATTGTCTAACCCCTCCTCCCCCCCTGCCCCCTCCGCCCTCCCCCCTCCTCCTCTTCCTCCCTCCTCCTCCTCCCCCCTCCCTCCTCCTCCCCCCTCCTCCTCCCCCCCCCTCCTCCTCCCCCCTGCCTCCTCCTCCCCCCTCTCCTCCTCCCCCCTCCCTCCTCCTCCCCCCTCCTCCTCCCCCCCCCTCCTCCTCCTCCCCCCCTCCTCTTCCTCCCCCCCCATCCTCCTCCCCCCTGCCTCCTCCTCCCCCTTCTCCTCCTCCTCCCCCCCTCTTCCTCCTCCTCCCCCCTCCTCCTCCTCCCCCCTCCTCCTCTTCCTCCTCCTCACCCCGCTCCCCCTCCTCCTCCCCCCTGCCCCCCCCCTCCCGGCCTCTGCAGCGAAGCCGCACTGGTTCGCTCCGCTGCCAGAGAGCCGCAGCTACGCGCCGGGGGACAGCGCCGAGCTCACGTGCTTCGCAAGCGGAATCCACGCACCGACCATCCGCTGGTTCCTCAACGGCGTGCCCATCGACGGTGAGACGCGGGGGGGGGGGGGGTCAGTCTCGCTCGGCCACTCGCCCTGCCCGCTCACTCGCGGGTCGATTGCACGCTCGCTCGCCCGCTTGTCCACCGACGTGCACGTACACACGCTCGTCAGCCGATCGCTCGGTCGACCGATCGCGGTAAAATCACACGCTCGGTCAACCAGTCGCCCGCTCACTCGCCCGCTCACTCGTCCGCAATGTGCACACCCTCACCCAGCCGGTCGCACGCTCACCCACAGGACGTAGCGAAGTGAGCCGGATCACGCCGCGTTGCGCTAAATGCATCCTGCCAAACAATGCCAAATCGCGCTCAGACCATTCCAAATCGTGGTTAAAATCGTTCCACATCGTGCGCCGAGACCGCGCCAAACCGTGCCGGGCGTCGTGCCGCCGTGCCATGGAGCAGAAGCCCCCGCGGTGCCGGACCGGCGGGTGGACCGCGACTTCCTGACGCTGCCCTGGCTGCGGGAGGAAGACACCGGCATGTACCAGTGCCAGGCCTCCAACCGTCATGGCACCATCCTGGCCAACGCCTACGTCAACGTCCTGGGTGAGAGCCGCACGTAGCCAACTATGACGGTCGGAGGTGCGGGGGAAGGACGACTGAGTCTCTATGCGAATCTGTGGGTCTCTGTGTGAGTCTGTGGGTCTCTGTGTGAGTCTGTGGGTCTCTATGCGAATCTGTGGGTCTCTGTGTGAGTCTGTGGGTCTCTGTGTGAGTCTGTGGGTCTCTGTGTGAGTCTGTGGGTCTCTGTGTAAGTCTGTGGGTCTCTGTGTCAGTCTGTGGGTCGCTGTGTGAGTCTGTGGGTCTCTGTGTGAGTCTATGGGTCGCTGTGTGAGTCTGTAGGTCTCTGTGTGAGTCTATGGGTCTCTGTGTGAGTAGTCTATGGGTCTCTGTGTGAGTCTGTAGGTCTCTGTGTGAGTCTATGGGTCTCTGTGTGATGAGTCTGCGAGTCTCTGTGTGATGAATCTATGGGTCTCTGTGTGATGAGTCTGTGGGTCTCTGTGTGATGAGTCTGTGGGTCTCTGTGTGATGAGTCTATGGGTCTCTGTGTGAGTCTATGGGTCTCTGTGTGATGAGTCTGTGGGTCTCTGTGTGAGTCCTCTCGGCAAGCATCTGTCTTGCTTCTCCTCGTGTTGTTCCCCCCTTCAAACCCTCCTCCTCCTCCCTCCTCCTCCCTCCCCCTCCACATTCCACCTCCTGTGTTCCGTGGAGGGATAACCACTCAGTGTCTCCCTCCGCTCTTCCTCCGCTCCTCATTCTCCAATCTCTTGTCTCTCTCTCTCACTTCCCTCCTGAAGCTTCCCTCGTCAACTCCTGCCACCAACCCCCAAGATCTCCTCCTGCTTCACCTGGTGGCATCTCTGCTGCGGTTCCACAACATTCCTCTAACCCAGCAACCCTCCCTCCCCCCTGCCCCATCCCACCCCCACCTCTCGCACAGCCGTGGCCCCACGGATGCTGTCGAAGCCGGACAGGCTGTACACGGCCACAGAGGGACAGGCCACGTACTTGGAATGTGCCGTATTTGGGTTGCCACGTCCCAACATCCTGTGGTGAGACCGACGCTGGCCCGGCTACTTTACTGCCTCCATGAACTAAACACTGTCAAGGATGACGTAGTGTAGTTCATACTGGTAATTCTCTAACCCTAATACTGATTTAAAGCTTTCGTGACTGCAGGGATTCATCTTCTTGGTTCTTTCGGTAAAGTCACGTAGAAGGGAAATAATAAAATTATAAAAATAAAACATTATAAAATACAATTCTCACGACGTTTCGGCCACAACGCAAGCAGCCGTCCTCATGTGAAGAACTGCTGTATGTGTGTGTGTGTGACACACACACACAGTTTCACTGTTTGTGTGTGTGTGTGTGTGCAACACTCACACACACACAGTGAAACTGCTGTGTGTGTGTGACACACACAGTGAAACTGGGTGTGTGTGTGTGCAACACTCACACACACACACACAGTTTCACTGTTTGTGTGTGTGTGTGTGTGCAACACTCACACACACACAGTGAAACTGCTGTGTGTGTGTGACACACACAGTGAAACTGGGTGTGTGTGTGTGCAACACACACACACACAGTTTCACTGTGTGTGTGTGTGTTGTACACACACGCACACACACAGTTTCACTGTGTGTGTGTGTTGCACACATACACATACAGTTTTACTGTGTGTGTCACACACAGTGAAACTGTGTGTGTGTGTGTACAACACTCAAGACTCCTCCCCCCCCCCCCCCTCTTTGCTTACGCCGCGCACCGCCAGGTTCCAGGGCGAGCACAGCGCATCCCTGGCGAGCGAGCGCCACCAAACCTTCGCCAACGGCACGCTGCTCATCTCGAACCTGTCGCCTGCCGACTCCGACACGTACACCTGCCACGCGGTCAACAAGCTGCACCACCAGCAGCTCCAGGCACGCCTCTACGTCGAAGGTTTGCACACCGAGACCGATAGACTCATCACAACGAGACCGATAGACTCACACAGAACCATAGACTCACCACACAGAGACCCATAGACTCACACAGACCCATAGACTCATCACACAGAGACCCATAGACTCACACAGACCCATAGACTCATCACACAGAGACCGATATACTCACACAGACCCATAGACAGACCCATAGACTCATCACACAGAGACCGATAGACTCACACAGACCCATAGACTCATCACACAGAGACCCATAGACTCATCACACAGAGACCGCTAGACTCACACAGACCCATAGACTCACCACACAGACCCATTGCCCATTGACTCATCACACAGAGACCCATAGACTCACACAGACCCATAGACTCACCAAACAGAGACCCATAGACTCATCACACAGAGACCCATAGACTCATCACACTGAGACCGATAGACTCACACAGACCCATAGACTCACCACACAGAGACCCATAGACTCATCATGCAGAGACCCATAGACTCATCACACAGAGACCCATAGACTCATCACACAGAGACCCATAGACTCATCACACAGAGACACATAGACTCATCACACAGAGACCGATAGACTCACACAGACCCATAGACTCATCACACCGAGACCCACAGACTCATCACACAGAGACCGCTAGACTCACACAGACCCATAGACTCACCACACCGAGACCCATAGACTCATCACACCGAGACCCACAGACTCATCACACAGAGACCCACAGACTCACCACACAGAGACCCACAGACTCATCACACAGAGACCCACAGACTCACCATACAGAGACCCACAGACTCATCACACAGAGACCCACAGACTCACCACACAGAGACCCACAGACTCACCACACAGAGACCCACAGACTCACCACACAGAGACCCACATACTCATCACACAGAGACCCATAGACTCATCACACAGAGACCCATAGACTCATCACACAGAGACCCATAGACTCATCACAGAGACCCATAGACTCATCACACAGAAACCCATAGACTCACACAGACCCATAGACTCATCACACAGAGACCCATAGACTTACACAGACCCAGACTCACCACACAAGGACCCATAGACTCATCACACAGAGACCCATAGACTCACACAGACCCAGACTCACCACACAGAGACCCATTGACTCATCACACAGAGACCCATAGACTCACACAGACCCATAGACTCATCACACAGAGACCCATAGACTCATCACACAGAGACCCATAGACTCACACAGACCCATAGACTCATCACACAGAGACCCATAGACTCATCACACTGAGACCGATAGACTCACACAGACCCATAGACTCATCATGCAGAGACCCATAGACTCATCATGCAGAGACCCATAGACTCATCACACAGAGACCCATAGACTCATCACACAGAGACCCATAGATTCATCACACAGAGACCCATAGACTCATGAGTCTATGTGGGTCTCTGTGTGATGAGTCTGTGGGTCTCTGTGTGGTGAGTCTGTGGGTCTCTGTGTGGTGAGTCAACGATGTTTTTCATTTGCCGGACAGCTTCAATGGAGCCAGTTGGATCGCTGTGCACAAGATGGCGGCGATGGCTTGTCTAGTCTCCGGGGGGGTTCGTGTATCAGGTAGATCGATGGTGGCCGCTGATTATGAAAGACGAACCAGGAGGGTCACCAAGGCAGTGAAATGAGTCCGGTCCCAGTGTTTTTATTATCGATGACAAGTCACATCGCTCGTGGCACGGGCGACTACGACGCTCGCCGTTGCTGGATTTCTCTCTGCTCTCCGTGACCCCCCCGACCCCCCACCCCCAGCCCGCTCCTCGTCAGAAGAAGAGGCGGTCGCCACGACGACTCAGAGCCCCTTCGTCATCTCCGCAATGGGCGTGGTGGTGGCGGCGGCGATGCTCCCGCTGGTGACGCTTGCGGTGGTCGCCGCGTGCCTGTGAAGGCGGCGGCAGCAGAGTCCCCTGGTAAGTGGCAGTGGCACCGTGGCTGACCAATCAATCAAGCGTAGTGGCAGTACAGGTTCTTTCGGTAAAGTGACGTATAAAGAGAAAATAATAAATTAAACACAAGCATACGACGTTTCGACTGCAACGCAAGCAATCGTCATCAGGTATAAATGAAATGGAAACACAAATCTAGTATACTTAGAAATGTAATGTAATACAACAGAGAGTCGGAACAGGACCCTGCGGGGTGGGCTGGTAGGAACGAATAACCAAAGAATATAAACATAATGTATTATTAAACTTGTTTAGCCAGGAAAGCCCCACTGAGTCTAAAGGTTTTTGTAGGGTCCTGCCAAGTGTTTGCAGTAGGGGGCGATGTTGCTACATCTAATCGGACAATCCGAAGGGAGATTTTGAGGCCTAGTTCTAGGCTTTAGACCTAGCTGTAGGCTTTAGGGCGCTGAGTTAATTTTAAATTAAAATGTTTTAATTATTAATGTAAAAGCTTTAAATGTAAATGTTTCTATTGAAAAACATCAGGGAATGTAACATTGTTAAACATTAACTCCCTTTCACACACGCGGGGGTACGATACGAAGGGAGAGTTCGAGGCCTAGTTCTAGGCTTTAGGCCTAGCTGTAGGCTTTAGGCCGCCGTGAGTTAATTTTAAATTTAAATGTTTTTATAATTCATGTAAAAGCTTTAAATTTAAATGTTTCTATTTAAAAGCATCAGGGAATGTAACATTGTTAAACATTAACTCCCTTGCACACACGCGGGGGTACGATACGAAGGGAGACTTTGAGGCCTAGTTCTAGGCTTTAGGCCTAGCTGTAGGCTTTAGGGCGCTGTGAGTTTTTTTTTATTTCAAAGTTTTAATTAAAAGCTATCTCAGGGAATTATAAGGGAATGTTACACTTGTTTAGCCAGGAAAGCGTCACTGAGTAAAGGTATTTGTAGGGTCATGCCAAGTGTTTGCAGTAGGGGGCGATGTTGCTACACGGACGGACGGATGGACAAACCGACAAACGGACGGACGATATAATCTATTGTAGGCTGGTCCACTTTGTTCCTACCAGTATAACATAACAGTCAACACCCCACCTGGTTGATTACATTCTTCCTGAGAATGCTAAATTTGAGAGAGAGATAAAACACAAAAGAGTTGTTTCTATTTGTTTGCATTTTGACTGCTTGTGTTGTGGTTATTGCAAACATGATGCCTTGTATAAAGGTGTCAGTTTTGTACCAGTTGAAAGGGTAAACACCTACTACGTGTGTGTGTGTAGTTGCCGTGGTGCGGTACCTGTGCTCAGCAGAGACGTTCTCTCCGATTCGCAGGATCTCAAACTCTGGATAGGCGCTCTGTCCTCATCCGTTTACTGGGAACAACAACAGCAACAACAACAACAGCAACAACAACAGCAACAGCCAAACGAGAAAACTCGAACGCTTCCCGAAATATTGTCGTGACCTCGGTGTGGAGACCCACAGACTCACTACACAGAGACCCATAGACTCACCACACAAAGACCCATAAACTCACTACACAGAGATCCATAGACTCACTACACAGAGACCCATAGACTCACTACACAGAGATCCATAGACTCACTACACAGAGATCCATAGACTCACTACACAGAGACCCATAGACTCACCACACAGAGACCCATAGACTCACTACACAGAAACCCATAGACTCACTACACAGAGACCCATAGACTCACTACACAGAGACCCATAGACTAACCACACAGAGACCCATAAACTCACCACACAGAGACCCACAGACTCACCACACAAAGACCCATAGACTCATCACACAAAGACCCATAGACTCACTACACAGAGATCCATAGACTCACTACACAGAGATCCATAGACTCACCACACAGAGATCCATAGACTCACCACACAGAGACCCATAAACTCACCACACAGAGACCCACAGACTCACAACACAGAGACCCACAGACTCACCACACAAAGACCCATAGACTCATCACACAAAGACCCACAGACTCACTACACAGAGATCCATAGACTCACTACACAGAGATACATAGACTCACCACACAGAGACCCACAGACTCACCACACAGAGACCCACAGACTCACCACACAAAGACCCATAGACTCACTACACAGAGATCCATAGACTCACTACACAGAGACCCATAGACTCACCACACAAAGACCCATAGACTCACCATACAAAGACCCATAGACTCACTACACAGAGACCCATAGACTAACCACACAGAGACCCATAAACTCACCACACAGAGACCCACAGACTCATCACACAGAGACCCATAGACTCACCACGTAGAGACCCACAGACTCACCACACAGAGACCCTCAGACTCACCACACAGATACCCATAGACTCACCACACAGAGATCCATAGACTCACCACACAGACCCATGCACCTAGCCTGGAACAGCAGTCAACTCATGGCACCTGCAGGGCCTGTCCCTGTGACCTCCTCCTCATGCACCTAGCCTGGCACAGCAGTTAACCCAAGGCACCTGCTGGGTCTGTCTCTGTGATGATAAGCCACTTCGCTAAGCCATCTCTCTCTCTCTGCGTGTGTCTGTCTTTGTGTCTGACAATTTTAATCTATATTGTATTATGGTTGTCATTGTTTGATATGCGCTGCTTTTTTGGGGAAGTTTTTTTCTCCTGGATGTTTCTGTTGCACGTCGTCATTTTAAGAATTTTATTTTTTCGTGTTTTTGTTTGTTGCCGCATTGGTCACGTGGTTATAGCTCAAAATAAATTCAACTTTAAACTGAAACTGTCTCCGTGTCTGTGCCTCTGTACATCTGTAACGGGAAGACATCTTCTGTAACGGGAAGACATCTTCTGTAACGGGAAGATATCTTCTGTAACGGGAAGACTTATTTATACACTATACTACACACTACACTACATTATACACTACTATACACTACACTATACACTACACTACATTATACACTACACTACACACTAGTGCTGTGCTAGTGACGAATTGGCACGTTCTGTTTACGTGACAACCCTTACTAGTTGGTGGTGGCAGATTTGAACGACACATTTATATATTTTTGCGATCAAACCCAAAACACCTCTTATGGATTCACCACGTTATGAACATCACATTTGCATTCATACGTTGCTTGCTTAATTGCCTCAGCAACTCGGTGTTTCGTATGGAATCTCGTCTCAAACAATCGAAGGGCGCCCCTAAGTGGCAGCTGCCCCTGTGTGGCACAAGGTGGTTGTGGGGTTTCTGGATAATATTCTTAGGTTTTTTCGGTAAAGTCACGGAGGTAAAAAATTAAAATTAATAAAAGTAAAATAAAAATCACGACGTTTCGATTGCAACACAAGCAATCATCATCAGGTATAAATGAAATAGCAACAAAAAATTCTAACCAGAAAAACTATAGACAGACATATGAGCAGACAGATATCACCAAGATACATAGAGAGACACAGGCACAGAGAGGGAGATCGTCTCTGTGGCGAGGCCTTAAATAGGCAGAGGGGGCGAGGGCAGAGAGAGGGAGGGGGCAGAGACAAAATTAACATGTCAATGAGTGCGGAAAACGCGTAGTGAAGTAAGCAAGTTTGAACATTAGGAGAGAGGGAGAAAGAACACACTAAATTAAATAACCTAGATAATGTCTGGACAATGTCTGGAATTAGCACGATTTAGACCGTGACACCAACATGCAATGGACCTGTGCGTTGTGAGTGACACGTGGCTTGTCTTACATCCGCCGTGAAGCAGACTGCGCATATTTGGTGAATGTCACTGGGGTAGCCAGCTGTGCCTGTCCGATTTGAACCTTGAACCTCTGCAATGAATAGAGAATGCGCTACCATATTGTGTGCACACACATAGTGTACACACACAATGTACACTCACTCACTGTGTACACACACAATGTACACACACACACAGTGTACACACACAATGTACACACACAGTATACACACAATGTACACACACACACTCACAGTGTACACACACAATGTACACACACACTCACTGTGTACACACACACACAGTGTACACACACAATGTACACACACACTCACTGTGTACACACACACATAGTGTGCACACACAATGTACACACACAGTATACACACACAATGTACACACACAGTGTACACACACACAGTGTACACACACTCACTGTGTACACACACAGTATACACACACAATGCACACACACACTCACTGTGTACACACACATAGTGTACACACAGTGTACACACACAGTGTACACACACACACACTGTGTACACACACGCTGTGTACACACACACACAGTGTACACACACACACTGTGTATACACAATGTAGACACACACACAGTGTACACACACAATAATGTCCACGTTGTAGTTTCTGAGCTCACGCACCCAAGGGGTCTCTGTTCAAGAGATGGAGCAATGGAAATTTAATCTAAAAACTTTAACTCCAATCCAGCTCTGTGACGTCACCCTGCACCGCGCTCTTGTGCGTGACGTCACCTCCGCGATGGTCACTGCTGAATCTGTGGGAGGGGAGTGTCTTGTATCCTTGAAGTGACGTCATGTCACTTTCTGCTGCCGCGTGGACGTCACGAGGTAACAGGAAGCTGCCCGCTCCGCGCTTTATCTGAAATCTGAGGTGATGAATTCTTGTGGTTGTTGTGATTGTTGTTGTGGTTGTTGTTGTTGTTTACCAAGGTAGAGCCTCTCGTAGGGATGTCAATTGAGCAGCATTGGAATCGATGTCCACGTTGGAACATTACAACGCGCGGCCTGGCCACGCGGGGCCTTGCCTCCTGCCCTCGCCTGAGTTAGTTTAGTTTGTCTTCACGCGGCTCGCCACTTTGTAACTCTGTTTTATTGTTACAGTGAGGGGACAAGTATTTGATCTAAATTTAGATTTAAAGCGTCTTTCGTGACTGCAGGGATTCAACTTCTTGGTTCTTTCGGTAAAGTCACGTAGAAGGGAAATAATAAAATAATAAAAATAAAACATAAAAATTCTTATATTACTATTATATTATTTTATTGTTTTATTTTTTGTTGTTTTATTACTTACCTTCTACGTGACTTTACCGAAAAACAATAAAATAATTATATTATTATACCATTTTATTATGTTTTATTTTTATTATTTTATTACTGCCCTTCTACGTGACTTTACCGAAAGAACCAAGAAAAAGTATTTGATCCCCTGCTGATTGTGTACGTTTGCCCGCTGACAAAGAAATGATCAGTCTGTAGTTTTAATGGTAGGTTTATTTGAACAGTGAGAGACAGAATAACAACAAAATCCAGAAAGACGCGTCAAAAATGTTATGAATTGATTTGCATTTTAATGAGGGAAATAAGTATTTGACCCCCTCTGCAAAACATGACTTAGTACTTGGTGGCAAAACCCTTGTTGGCAATCACAGAGGTCAGACGTTTCTTGTAGTTGGCCACCAGGTTTGCACACATCTCGGGAGGGATTTTGTCCCACTCCTCTTTGCAGATCTTCAAGTCGTTAAGGCTTCGAGGCTGACGTTTGGCAACTCGAACCTTCAGATCCCTCCACAGATTGTCTATGTGATTAAGGTCTGGAGACTGGCTAGGCCACTCCAGGACCTTAATGTGCTTCTTCTTGAGCCACTCCTTTGTTGCCTTGGGCTGTGTTTTTTTGGTCATTGTCATGCTGGAATACCCATCCACGACCCATTTTCAATGCCCTGGCTGAGGGAAGGAGGTTCTCACCCAAGATTTGACGGTACATGGCCCCGTCCATTGTCCCTTTGATGCGGTGAAGTTGTCCTGTCCCCTTAGCAGAAAAACACCCCCAAAGCATAATGTTTCCACCTCCATATTTGACGGTGGGGATGGTGTTCTTGGGGTCATAGGCAGCATTCCTCCTTCTCCAAACACGGCGAGTTGAGTTGATGCCAAAGAGCTCCATTTTGGTCTCATCTGACCACAACACTTTCACCCAGTTGTCCTTTAAATCATTCAGATGTTCATTGGCAAACTTCAGACGGGCATGTATATGTGCTTTCTTGAGCAGCGGGACCTTGCGGGCGCTGCAGGATTTCAGTCCTTCACGGCGTAGTGTGTTACCAATTGTTTTCTTGGTGACTATGGTCCCAGCTGCCTTGTGTAGTTCTGGGCTGATTCCTCACCGTTCTCATGATCATTGCAACTCCACGAGGTGAGATCTTGCATGGAACCCCAGGCCGAGGGAGATTGACAGTTCTTGTGTGTTTCTTCTATTTGCGAATAATCGCACCAACTGTTGTCACCTTCTCACCAAGCTGCTTGGCGATGGTCTTGTAGCCCATTCCAGCCATGTGTAGGTCTACAATCTTGTCCCTGCCATCATTGGAGAGCTCTTTGGTCTTGGCCATGGTGGAGAGTTTGGAATCTGATTGATTGATTGCTTCTGTGAACAGGTGTCTTTTATAAAGGTAACAAGCTAAGATTAGGAGCACTCCCTTTAAGAGTGTGCTCCTAATCTCAGCTCGTTACCTGTATAAAAGACACCTGGGAGCCAGAAATCTTACTGATTGAGAGGGGATCAAATACTTATTTCCCTCATTAAAATGCAAATCAATTTATAACATTTTTGACACGCGTTTTTCAGGATTTTTGTTGTTGTTATTCTGTCTCTCACTGTTCAAATAAACATACCATTAAAATTATAGACTGATCATTTCTTTGTCAGTGGGCAAACGTACAAAATCAGCAGGGGATCAAATACTTTTTTCCCTCACTGTAAATATTCACGCAGTTTCTATTTTTCATTTTTTGTACCAGGCCAAGCCGGCTTGAGCTGCTCTACCACTCTTGTTCTCAGAAGCTACCTGCCCACAACGCAAGGTGAGGCTTTGTGAACTTGTGTGTGAATGTGTGGACTTAAAACTTTCGTGACTGCAGGAATTCATATTCTTGGTTCTTTCGGTAAAGTCACTTAGACAGAAAATTTAATAAAAATAACAGATGATGAAATAAAAATTATAAAATTGTAAATAAAGAGAAAAAACACAACGTTTCGATCGCAACACAAGTGGTCTTTATTTTATTTAATTTTATTATCTATTATTGATATTTTCTACCTACGTAACTTTACCGAAAGAACCAAGAATACGTGTGGAAATGTGTATCGGTCAAAGACGCTAAACGCGTACTGATGTTGACTCTAAATGTGGAGGGCAAACCCGGGGAATCCGGAGGAAAATCCACGCGACCACGGAGAGAGAGACACGCAAACTCCAAATATACAGCAGCAGCAGGCGCCAGGGCCGGGATCGAACCCACGACTTCCTGTACACCAGGTGAGGTAGTTAACATCTCACCACGTAGAGAGAGAAACACGCAAACTCCAGTTAGCCTCGGCTATGTTGATTGATCCTCAATTAATTACTTGGTGGAGTGAGGAATCATTTATTCTGAGCAGATGAAGGTGGCCAGGCATGGGTCTGGACACACCACCACCTGTGAACCATGCCAGTGTGTGACAGTGTCAAGTTTGTGTTTGCAGTAAAGTCTATTAACTCTATTGAACACAGAGGTTATATCACAACAATAGTTTATTTTTGTTTTCCTCTGGAACTCTTTGTAAGAATGGAAACAGGAAGTTAACACAGCACACACGTGCAGCTGAAAGTCGGATCTGTTCATCCCAGCCTTCAAGGACATCTGAGCCTGGATTCACACCTGAGTTGCGATTGAACATGAATTTATGCATTTCTGCATAACACAAATAGAATTGTTTTAACACCCTTTGCAATGTCAGCTGAATTTAGCTTTTATACATATTCCTTTTGTAGCCAGACAGCCGAAATTGTGTGCTCGGAGTTTGGGTTAACATTCATTTTTAAGATATGAGGGCTCCCAGGCATATTTATGACCACTTGCCCTCTCATTGTGTGCCATTACAGCCCGTGTGATGAATTTGAGAAACGTTTTTACTACATAATGAATATATGAATAAGTATAGACGTGTAAGTCACGTGTGACTGTACGTATGCGTTCTTCTGTGCATAGATACCGGAGTGGATATATTCTTAGGTTTTTTCGGTAAAGTCACGTAGGTAAAACATTTTAATTAATAAAAGTAAAATAAAACAAATTAAAAAATTGACGACGTTTCGGAAGCAACACAAGCCTCCGTCTTCAGGTGGAAACGTCACAGCCACGACAGCTGTATTTTTTTTGTATTTTCTTTTTTTACTTGATACAGCTGTCGTGGCTGTGACGGTTCCACCTGAAGACGGAGGCTTGTGTTGCTTCCGAAACGTCAATTTTTTAATTTGTTTATTTTTACTTTAATTTAATTTTTTTACATACGTGACTTTACCGAAAAAACCTAAGAATATGAATCCTTGCAGTCACGAAAGCTTCAAATCTAGAATGGTGTGGATATTCCTATTATCTGTCTGCAGCTGACGCTTCCTTCGACGCTTCCTCTGCAGAATTGGTCTGATGGAGCAAAGGCAGTCAGCACAGCTCGGTACGGCAAGGCAACAATGCGACCAGAGTGCATACAGCACGGAGCGCACTGTAAATTTGACACAGCACCAGAGAACACACACAGGAGAGAAACGTTTCAAGTGCACTGTGTGTGGGAAGGCATTTGCAAAGTCACGTAATCTTGTAATACACCAGAGAACACACACGGGAGAGAAACCCTTCAAGTGCACTGTGTGTGGGAAAGCGTTTGCACATTCATGTACTCTTGTAAGACACCAGAGAATACACACGGGAGAGAAACCCTTCAAGTGCAGTGTGTGTGCGAAGGCATTTTCTCATTCATCTGTTCTTAAAAAACACCAGAGAACACACACAGGAGAGAAACCCTTCAAGTGCAGTGTGTGTAGCATGGCATTTTCACGGTCATCTTCTCTTAAAAATCACCATAGAACACACACAGGAGAGAAACCCTTCAGGTGCATTCTGTGCGGGAAATCCTTTGCAAAGTCACATAATCTTGTAATACATCAGAGAACACACACGGGAGTGAAACCTTTCAGGTGCACAATTTGCGGGAAGGCGTTTGCACAAGCATCTGTTGTTCAGACCCACCAGAGAATACACACAGGAGAGAAACCCTTCAAGTGCACTGTGTGTGGGAAGGCATTTTCACTGTCATCTTCTTTTAAAAAACACCAGAGAACACACACAGGAGAGAAACCCTTCAAGTGCACTGTGTGTAGCATGGCATTTTCACAGTCATTTGCTCTTAAAAAACATCAGAGAACACACACAGGAGAGAAACCCTTCAGGTGTTTTCTGTGCGGGAAGGCGTTTACACGGTCAGAACATCTTCAAAGACACGAGAGAACGCACACGGGAGAGAAACGCTTCAAGTGCAGTGTGTGTGGGAAAGCGTTTGCACATTCATCTACTCTTGTAAGACACCAGAGAATACACACGGGAGAGAAACCCTTTAAGTGCAGTGTGTGTGCGAAGGCATTTTCACTGTCATCTGTTCTTAAAAAACACCAGAGAACACACACAGGAGAGAAACCCTTCAAGTGCACTGTGTGTAGCATGGCATTTTCACAGTCATCTGATCTTAAAAAACATCAGAGAACACACACAGGAGAGAAACCCTTCTGGTGCTTTCTGTGCGGGAAGGCGTTTACACGGTCAGAACATCTTCAAAGACACGAGAGAACGCACACGGGAGAGAAACACTTCAAAATTCACGACGTGACTTTACCGAAAAAACCTAAGAATATGAATCCTTGCAGTCACGAAAGCTTCAAATCTAGAATTGTCGGTAATGTTTAGAATTATCTACATTTTGACTCAAGACGCAATCATGCAATGGCCTACTCGTTTTGAATGACACAATAGTATGTTTTACATCCACTGTTAAGCAGACGGTGCATAATTATTTAAAATAGCTTAATACGATGTAACCTGGTGCAGTATATTTCACTGCAGTAATTACATTTTGTTAAAATGTAAAATGTCTGTCAATAATTTAGAATGAACACTGATTTTGTGTACATGCAACATTTTATTTACAAGGGTCAAACATTGAATAAGTGATGTTAGGACAAAGTGTGTGTTTTTGGAAGTAACCTGTACAGATAACTCAGGTGAGACCCGTTGTTCTTGTGATACAGCTCAAAGGGTAGTTTTAAATCCTTTATATTAAGTTCACTTGCTTGCTTACGACCGTGCAAATCTTTCGGTCATTTTTAACCCACTTCCCGTGATCCAATCGAGCTGACATTTTGCACACAGACTCGTTGTGCGTGACAATTAATTTTCGTGAAAAATTTCCAAAATTTTACACTGTTTAGGGAATTTTTTTAAAATATTTAATTACCAATTGCTTAATGGTGGCAGACAATCATCTGACCCATAGGTGGCAGCCATATCAAGCCAGAGGACGAGAGGACTCTCGCCGCCACGCATATAAAGGATTTATAGTGAAAAACTTTGTTTTTACGGGTTAATTTTTTGTGTTTCCGGAAGCATTTGTCTCTGGAGCAACTCATCGTCTTTGAAATAGGGAGCACGCTCGGATTATTTAATTATGTTGAATTTTTATTATGGTATTACTTCCCTTCTACGTGATGACTTTACCGAAAGAACCAAGAAGATGAATCCCTGCAGTCACGAAAGCTTTAAATCGAGAACATTTACCTAATTAGCGCATTGATTTTTGTGTTCGTTTAAGCGCCCGTCTTGATTGCAACACGCGTAGCGTTCCACGTATCGGCGCTATATTTAATTAATAAATAACCCCGCCTCCCTCTCTAAAGCACACAGACCAATTCTGACCTTATTGGTCACCCCGTGCCCTTATACATCTGTAGTGACATAAGAAGGGAGGGGCTGCTGGGGGCTCTGGGTTCCCGGGCGGGTCCAGACGCTTAAGCCTCTGGGCGCCAGGCGCTGGGTTCCCAGGGGGTCCAGACGCTTAAGCCTCTGGGTGCCGCCAACGGGGGGGGGGGCTGTGTGTGCTCTGTGGGATGTCTGGTGGCGCACACGGCCCCACCCCTCGTTGGACCAGGCATAAAAGGGGAGCTCCCTGGACGATCGGGGCCCAGTTGTAACTCAAGACCCAAGACCCACGACCAGCCATCTGAAGACCCTGGGATGCTGTGAGAGCCAGTGCTGGGACTCTGGAACTCTCGACTCTACGACCTTGTGAGGGCGAGTTCCGGAGCGTAGCCAGAGTAGAGTATCTAGGCTGTGTAGCTAGGCTGTGTACCTTGGCTTTAACAGAGTATCAGGACTGTTGGGAGTACTGTTGGAGTGTTGTAATAAAGAAGTTACCTCTACAAGTGTGTGTGTACACTGTGTACACACACACAGTGTACACACACAATGTACACACACTCACTGTGTACACACACATAGTGTACACACACAGTGTACACACACAGTCTACACACTCACTGTGCACACACACAGTCTACACACTCACTGTGTACACACACAATGTACACACACACTCACTGTGTACACACACATAGTGTACACACACAATGTACACACACACACAGTGTACACACACACTCACTGTGTACACACAGTATACACACACAATGTACACACACACAATGTACACACACACACACTGTGTACACACACAATAATGTCCACGTTGTAGTTTCTGAGCTCACGCACCCAAGGGGTCTCTGTTCAAGAGATGGAGCAATGGAAATTTAATCTAAAAACTTTAACTCCAATCCAGCTCTGTGACGTCACCCTGCACCGCGCTCTTGTGCGTGACGTCACCTCCGCGATGGTCACTGCTGAATCTGTGGGAGGGGACTGTCTTGTATCCCGGAAGTGACGTTATGTCACTTTCTGCTGCCGCGTGACGTCACGAGGTAACAGAAAGCTGCCCGCTCCGCGCTTTTTCTGAAATCTGAGGTGATAAATTCTTGTGGTGGTTTGTGGTTGTTGTTGTTTACCAAGGTAGAGCCTCTCGTAGGGATGTCAATTGAGCAGCATTGGAATCGATGTCCAGGTTGGAACATTACAAGGCGCGGCCTGGCCACGCGGGGCCTTGCCTCCTGCCCTCGCCTGAGTTAGTTTAGTTTGTCTTCACGCGGCTCGCCACTTTGTAACTCTGTTTTATTCTACAGTGAGGGGACAAGTATTTGATCTAAATTTAGATTTAAAGCTTTCGTGACTGCAGGGATTCAACTTCTTGGTTCTTTCGGTAAAGTCGTCACGTAGAAGGAAAGTAATAAAATAATAAAAAATAAAACATGAAAATTATTATATTACTATTATATTATTTTATTATGTTTTATTTTTATTACTGCCCTTCTACGTGACTTTACCGAAAGAACCAAGAAAAAGTATTTGATCCCCTGCTGATTGTGTACGTTTGCCCACTGACAATGAAATGATCAGTCTGTAGTTTTAATGGTAGGTTTATTTGAACAGTGAGAGACAGAATAACAAAAAAAAAATCCAGAAAGACGCGTCAAAATGTTATAAATTGATTGGCATTTTAATGAGGGAAATAAGTATTTGACCCCCTCTGCAAAACATGACTTAGTACTTGGTGGCAAAACCCTTGTTGGCAATCACAGAGGTCAGACGTTTCTTGTAGTTGGCCACCAGGTTTGCACACATCTCAGGAGGAATTTTGTCCCACCACTCCTCTTTGCAGATCTTCTCCAAGTCATTAAGGTTTCGAGGCTGACGTTTGGCAACTCGAACCTTCAGCTCCCTCCACAGATTTTCTTTGGGATTAAGGTCTGGAGACTGGCTAGGCCACTCCAGGACCTTAATGTGCTTCTTCTTGAGCCACTCCTTTGTTGCCTTGGCCGTGTGTTTTGGGTCATTGTCATGCTGGAATACCCATCCACGACTCATTTTCAATGCCCTGGCTGAGGGAAGGAGGTTCTCACCCAAGATTTGACGGTACATGGCCCCGTCCATCGTCCCTTTGATGCGGTGAAGTTGTCCTGTACCCTTAGCAGAAAAACACCCCCAAAACATAATGTTTCCACCTCCATATTTGACGGTGGGGATGGTGTTCTTGGGGTCATAGGCAGCATTCCTCCTCCAAACACGGCGAGTTGAGTTGATGCCAAAGCGCTCCATTTTGGTCTAAACTGACCACAACACTTTCACCCAGTTGTCCTTTGAATCATTCAGATGTTAATTGGCAAACTTCAGACGCGCATGTATATGTGCTTTCTTGAGCAGGGGGACCTTGCGGGCGCTGCAGGATTTCAGTCCTTCACGTCGTAGTGTGTTACCAACTGTTTTCTTGGTGACTATGGTCCCAGCTGCCTTGAGATTATTGACAAGATCCTCCCGTGCAGTTCTGGGCTGATTCCTCACCGTTCTCATCATTGCAACTCCACGAGGTGAGATCTTGCATGGAGCCCCAGGCCGAGGGAGATTGACAGTTCTTGTGTGTCTTCCATTTACGAATAATCACACCAACTGTTGTCACCTTCTCACCAAGCTGCTTGGTGAGGGTCTTGTAGCCCATTCCAGCCTTGTGCAGGTCTACAATCTTGTCCCTGACATCCTTGGAGAGCTCTTTGGTCTTATCCATGGTGGAGAGTTTGGAATCTGATTGATTGCTTCTGTGAACAGGTGTCTTTTATACAGGTAACAAGCTAAGATTAGGAGCACTCCCTTTAAGAGTGTGCTCCTAATCTCAACTCGTTACCTGTATAAAAGACACATGGGAGCCAGAAATCTTTCTGATTGAGAGGGGGTCAAATACTTATTTATGCCATTAAAATGCAAATCAATTTATAACATTTTTGACATGCGTTTTTCTGGATTTTTTTGTTGTTATTTTGTCTCTCACTGTTCAAATAAACATAACATTAAAATTATAGACTGAGCATTTCTTTGTCAGTGGGCAAACGTACAAAATCAGCAGGGGATCAAAATACTTTTTCCCCTCACTGTAAATATTCACGCAGTTTCTATTTTTCATATTTTGTACCAGGCCAAGCCGGCTTGAGCTGCTCTACCGCTCTTGTTCTCAGAAGCTACCTGCCCACAACGCAAGGTGAGGTTTTGTGAACTTGCGTGTGAATGTGTTGCCTTAAAACTTTCGTGACTCCTGGAATTCATATTCTTGGTTCTTTCGGTAAAGTCACTTAGACAGAAAATTAAATAAAAATAACAGATGATGAAATAAAAATTATTAAATTGTAAATAAAGAGAAAAAACACGATGTTTCGATCGCAACACAAGTGGTCTTTATTTTATTTAATTTTATTATCTATTATTGATATTTTCTATCTACGTAACTTTACCGAAAGAACCAAGAATACGTGTGGTAATGTGTATCGGTCAAAGACGCTAAACGCGTACTGATGTTGACTCTAAATGTGGAGGGGAAACCCGGGAGATCCGGAGGAAAATCCACGCGACCACGGAGAGAGAGACACGCAAACTCCAAATATACAGCGGCAGGCGTCAGGGCCGGGATCGAACCCACGACTTCCTGCATACCAGGTGAGGTAGTTAACATCTCACCACGGAGAGAGAGACACACAAACTCCAAATATACAGCAGCAGGCGCCAGGGCCGGGATCGAACCCACGACTTCCTGCATACCAGGTGAGGTAGTTAACATCTCACCACGGAGAGAGAGACACGCAAACTCCAAATATACAGCAGCAGGCGTCAGGGCCCGGATCGAACCCACGACTTCCTGTATACCAGGTGAGGTAGTTAACATCTCACCACGGAGAGAGAGACACACAAACTCCAGTTAGCCTCGGCTATGTTGATTGATCCTCAATTAATTACTTGCTGGAGTGAGGAATCATTTATTCTGAGCAGATGAAGGTGGCCAGGCATGGTTCTGGTCAAACCACCACCTGTTAACCATGCCAGTGTGTGACAGTGTCAAGTTTGTGTTTGCAGTAAAGTCTATTAACTCTGTTGAACACGGAGGTTATATCAAAACAATAGTTTATTTTTGTTTCCCTCTGGAAGCACATGCAGCTCAATTCAGATCTGTTCATCCCAGCATTCAAGGACATCTAAGTTGTGATTGAACGTTAATTTATGCATTTCTGCATAGCACAAATAGAATTGTTTTCAACACCCTTTGCAATGTCAGCTGAATTTAGCTTTTATACATATTCCTTTTGTAGCCAGACAGCCGAAATTGTGTGCTCGGAGTTTTGGGTTAACATTCATTTTTAAGATACGAGGGCTCCCAGGCATATTTATGACCACTTGCCCTCTCATTGTGTGCCATCACAGCCCGTGTGATGAATTTGAGAAACGTTTTTACTACATCATGAATATATGAATAAGTATAGACGTGTAAGTCACGTGTGACTGTACGTATGCGTTCTTCTGTGCCTCGATACCGGAGTGGATATATTCTTAGGTTTTTTTCGGTAAAGTCACGTAGGTAAAAAATGTAAATTAATAAAAGTAAATAAAACAAATTAAAAAATTGACGACGTTTCGGAAGCAACACAAGCCTCCGTCTTCAGGTGGAAACGTCACAGCCACGACAGCTGTATTTTTTTTGTATTTTTTTTTTTACTTGATACAGCTGTCGTGGCTATGACGGTTCCACCTGAAGACGGAGGCTTGTGTTGCTTCCGAAACGTCGTGAATTTTTTTATTTGTTTTATTTTACTTTTAATTAAAATGTTTTACCTGCGTGACTTTACCGAAAAAACCTAAGAATATGAATCCTTGCAGTCACGAAAGCTTCAAATCTAGAATGGTGTGGACATTCCTATTATCTGTCTGCAGCTGACGCTTCCTTCGACGCTTCCTCTGCAGAATTGGTCTAATGGAGCAAAGGCAGTCAGCACAGCTCGGTACGGCAAGGCAACAATGCGACCAGAGTGCATACAGCACGGATCGCACTGGAAATTTGACACAGCACCAGAGAACACACACAGGAGAGAAACCCTTCAAGTGCAGTGTGTGGGAAGGCATTTTCACAGTCATAGCATCTTGAAAATCACCAGAGAACACACACAGGAGAGAAACCCTTCAGGTGCTTTCTGTGCGGGAAAACGTTTGCAAAGTCACAAACTCTTCAAAGACACCAGAGAACACACACGGGAGAGAAACCCTTCAAGTGCAGTGTGTGTGGGAAGGCATTTTCACAGTCACATAATCTTGTAATACACCAGAGAACACACACTGGAGTGAAACCTTTCAGGTGCACGATTTGCGGGAAGGCGTTTGCACAAGCATCCGTTGTTCAGGCCCACCAGAGAACACACACAGGAGAGAAACCCTTCAAGTGCACTGTGTGTGGGAAGGCATTTTGTCAGTCATCTACTCTTAAAAATCATCAGAGAACACACACAGGAGAGAAACTCTTCAAGTGCACTGTGTGTAGCAAGGCATTTTCACAGTCACCTGCTCTTAAAAATCACCAGAGAACACACACGGGAGAGAAACCCTTCAGGTGCTTTCTTTGCGGTAAGGCGTTTACACGGTCAGAACATCTTCAAAGACACGAGAGAACGCACACGGGAGAGAAACCCTTCAGGTGCACTTGGCGGGAAGGCGTTTGCACGGTCATCAAATCTTCAACGACACCAGAGAACGCACAAGCATCAGAAGATCTGCAAGGAGTGGAGTCTGAAATCAGCTTGTGAAAGTCAAAGTGCTGCAATGAGCCCATCCCTCATCAAACAATAACTGGAGGAAAATCCCAGCTTGGACACTTAAAGGTATCGAGGTGAAATGTGAAGAGGTGATGGTGAAGAGCAAAGAAGTGATGGTGAAGAGTGAAGAAGTGATGGTAAAATGTGAAGATGAAGATTATACTGCAAAATGGGACCTTCACATTGATGGAGGCAACGTGAAGCAGGATGAGAATTCTGACTGTGAGGCAGAGTGAGGCAACTCCCAGCAGTTTGTGGAGGTGGAGGTGTGGGTGGACTTCTTAGAAAACACAAAGTCAAGGTGAGACCCGGTAGATGTGTCAGCTTGAGACGTCGCTCCAATAGATGCTCCTTTGTCACGGGCCTTTAATGAAAATAATGTGAAGTTGAACACTCAGTTCCTGGGTTCAACCTGCAGAGTAAGAGTGAGCGGCCAGTCTTTGTGTTCCCTGTGGGTTGGGTAGATCCCTGTGTTACGATCTAAACTTCCTGATCTACTATTATTTTTGCTACCAACATGACTTTACTGAAAGAACCAAAGAGTATGTGAACAAGAGCCTGTCAGTAGGGGGGCGACGATGTTTCATGTCAGTTGTGTAATTTGTCGGTAATGTTGAGAATTTGCTACATTTTGACTCAAGACGCAAGCATGCAATGGCCTACTGGTTTTGAATGACACAATAGTATGTTTTACATCCACTGTTAAGCAGACGGTGCATAATTATTTGAAATAGCTTAACCTGGTGCAGTATATTTCACTGCAGTAATTAAATTTTGTTAAAATGGAAAATGTCTGTCAATGATTTAGAATGAACACTGATTTTGTGTACATGCAACATTTTATTTATGAGGGTCAAACATTGAATAAGTGATGTTAGGACAAAGTTTGTGTTTTTGGAAGTAACCTGTACAGATCACTCAGGTGAGACCCGTTGTTCTTGTGATACAGGTCACATGCCCGTTTGCTTTTAAATAAATGTGTGCATCTTTTGATTGAAAGCTTTCGTGACTGCAGTGAACTATTTGTCTTTTGTCAACGTGACAGAATCCTGTGTTGGGATCTTGAGAGATGACGATAGCTGGGGAGGCTTTCATTCAGCCATAGATCAATCACGGCTGACAATGGTCATTCCATTTACGAGACTTTACCCGGTGTAAGAGGCCGGAGTATACCCAAATGCCGTAGTATACCCACAGGCCGTAGTATACCCACAGGTGTAGTATACCCGGGGTCTAAACGGCCTAGGCTAGATTATAGCCGGGTATATTATGGCCTAGGCCAAATGATGCCCCTCTAGGTCAAATCATCATACCCCCGTGATAGTAATGGCGTTGAGCGATATACACGTGAATTACTAAATTTTTCCAACATTTTATTTTAAACTGTAAACACATCGACTTTGACTGCTTCAACCAGAAAAAAACTTTAATAATAACCCCTGAACCCTAAAAATGCTTCAATTGATCAAATTTAGATTCTTACTTCCACGCGTATGCGTTTTAGATATCGATAGAAGTTCGTTGTCGCCTTTTCTCTGTATGGATAATTGCCTTTGAACTTTCACACGGGGCATAGTCTGGCCTGGAGTGGTATGGTCTGGCCCAGTCGAGTTTAAACCCCCAGGGGGTCTAGTTTAGCCTTGGAGACTTCATCCCCCCCCCCCGGGTATACTCTGGACTGGGCCAAACTATACCCGGGTTTAATCGGGGCAGGGGTTATTTTAGCCTGTCGGGATGGAACTCACGACCTCCTGTACACCCGGCGAGGTAGTTAACATCTCATAGCCACCGTGATGATGAGATAGACACCGCAAACTCCAAATATACAGCAGCAGGCGTCGCCATGGTCTGGATCGAACCCACGACCTCCTGCGCACCAGGCGAGGTAGTCAACATCTAGCCACCGTGATGATGAGAGAAACACCGCAAACTCCAAGTGTACAGCAGCAGGCATCGTCAGGGTCGTGATGGAACTCACGACCTCCTGTATACCAGGCGAGGTAGTAAACATCTCCTAGCCACCGTGATGATGAGAGACACGCAAACTCCAAATATACAGCAGCAGGCGTAGCCATGGTCTGGATCGAACCCACGACCTCCTGCGCACCAGGCGAGGTAGTCAACATCTCCTAGCCACCGTGATGATGATGAGAGAGACACCACAAACTCAAAATATACAGCAGCAGCAGGCGTCAGGGTCGGGATGGAACTCACGACCTCCTGCGCACCAGGCGAGGTAGTTAACATCTAGCCACCGTGGTGATGATGAAAGAGAGAGACACAGACCTCCTGTAGACCAGCCGCGGTAGTCAACATCTCATAGCCACCTTGATGATGAGAGAGACACCACAAACTCCAAACATACAGCAGCAGGCGTAGCCATGGTCTGGATCGAACCCACGACCTCCTGCGCACCAGGCGAGGTAGTCAACATCTCCTAGCCACCGTGATGATGATGAGAGAGAGAGACACAGACCTCCTGCGCACCAGGCGAGGTAGTCAACATCTAGCCACCGTGGGGCAGTCACGGCTAGAGTGGTGGAGGGGGCGTGTCACCCTCCGTGTCTGGGCGGTGCGTTCGAGACCGGCTCTGGTTTGGCCCCGGAACCGTCTCGTTCTGAGTCGGTCAAGTGGCGTTCTTCGTTCGATTCAGCCCACTCCGAAGGAACGTGTTTTTTAAACGATGCGAAATAACGGCACTAAACTGTTCATTTAACTACTTTCAAGTTTCCGGATGGGAAAGCGGAACAGCGCCGGCTCACCGCGGGGCTTGCGGCGTGGAACCAGCGACTCGTCGTCAACGTCAACTCCACGGCTCGCGAGACAAACCTTTCGCAAGTCTAGCGTCCACACGGAGACAGACGGACGGGACAGACAGACACACGGAAAAAACACGTTCCTTCGCAGTGTGCAGGTCGGAACTTGGTTGGACAGCGCATTCGTGCACGACAGACAGACACATAATCCCTGGTGGGCAAGTGTGGAACCTGTTGTTCCTCTACCTGTGTACAAGATCACGTGACTTGAGGTAGCCAGGCAGCCAGCCAGGCAGACAGCCCCCTTCACTATCGGCCCCTCCCCTTACCCCCTCTCCCTTAGGCCCCTCCCCTGCCCCCCCCCCCCCCTCACTTAGGCCCCTCCCCTGACCCCCCCTCCCTTAGGCCCCTCCCCTGACCCCCCCCCTCAGGCCCCTCCCCTGACCCCCCCTCCCCTGACCCCCCCCCTCAGGCCCCTCCCCTGACCCCCCCTCCCCTGACCCCCCCCCTCAGGCCCCTCCCCTGACCCCCCCTCCCCTGACCCCCCCCCTCAGGCCCCTCCCCTGACCCCCCCCCTCAGGCCCCTCCCCTCTCCGTACCCGGCAGTAGGTCAAGTTCAAGTTCAAGTTCATTTATTAGGTATAGCCCTGTGAGCCATTCAGCTCTTGAATCGGGTGCAACCGCAACAAACAAAAAACAAAAACATGAACAAAAAAAACATCTTAAAGTGAATATGTGACTAAGTGCAAAGAGAAAATCCAAGAAAAGACAGCAAAAATATTGCAGAAAAAACACCGTACACCAACGCTGTGTGCAAAAATCCCAGTGGGATGCAAGTCAAACAACAACAACAACCACAAGACAACTTAGATTAAGGCCATCAGTCTAACTGTACTACAACAACACAAACATGGCTAAACCAATACACTTTTCGAAATCACCAAAATAAAGCCATGAAGGCAATGAAAAAGCAATCATAGGAACTGACGGAATTTTAACAATAAATGGCGTAAACAACATGTACTACCAAAACCCTGCAGCCATAGCTGGCTGCATGAGTCACTCCACAACAGCAGGAGCATCAATCGGAGTATTGTAATTTTTCAATGCACCTTTAAGATCAGCACACTAAATCAAAACACAGGTCATACTTTGTAGCGATCATCCGGAGCGAAACATTTTATTTTAGGTCACTGAATAGCACTGGCAGCTAGGGGTGTACAACTCCTCTAAAGCAGTTTTGAGTGAAGATCTCATAGGTAGTGACTCAAGTTTCAATTTATTTGCAACAGCATTCCAGACCCTGGGGGCATCAATAGCAAAGGCCCTTCCTCCAGTATATGTACGGCAATAGGGAATATTAAGCTGGTAAATGAGTGTAGACCTTAGGTCAAATTTGTTCTTTGAAACAGAGACGAGATCCAGCAGGTAATCTGCAGATTTTTTTGCAAGTACATCATGAATAAATAAGATCTGGTGCACAAGCCGTCGAACATTCAGAGATGTTAAGTTTGACCCAATGTAGAGATCACAGTGGTGAGTCCTATATGGGCAGTTCAATGCAAATCTTAAGGCCAGGTCTCCACCAATCAAAGAGCTGTGTGTATTATATATTTATTTATGCACGACAGACAGTCAGACAGACACGTGATCCCTGGTGGGCAGCAGTGTGGGACATTGTTCCTGCTGCCTGTAACACGTGTCTACCTACGTCACTCCATGGGCAGTGCTGTCAATGGGCGGTGCTTATCAATTCTACGGATTGTGATTCGCGCTCACGTGTTCTCCTATCCGCGCTACGTTTTCTAAAAGCGCTCTGCCAAGGCTCCACGCGATCACAGCCGCACGCGTTCGCCTGCCTGTGGTAGAGGCACGAAACGTTGGATTTCCACCACCACCCCCACCACATGAGGACACAGAAAAGAGCTCAAGACCCCCCCCCCCCCCAGACATCTACGCAGCGTTGCGCCGGTGAGTGACGTGTTGAGGCCTTGTCAACTTCATATTTGTCTTCTTGTTTTTTCGGTAAAGTCGTCACGTAGAAGGGAAGTAATAAATAATAAAAATAAAACATAATAAAATAATTCTCACGACGTTTCGGCCACAACGCAAGCAGCCGTCTTCAGGTGAAGAATGAGACACTGCCAAGCTTGGAGCTTGTATATAAGCTGGGTTGGAGGTGGAAGAAGAAGAGAGCCTTAACAAAATAATGTGCATATCAAGAGGAATCTGCACATTCTTTTGTTAAAGCGCCAAGCTCGGCAGTGTCTCATTCTTCACCTGAAGACGGCTGCTTGCGTTGTAGCCGAAACGTCGTGAGAATTATTTTATTACGTTTTATTTTTATTATTTTATTACTTCCATTCTACGTGACTTTACCGAAAGAACCAAGAAGATGAATCCCTGCAGTCGCGAAAGCTTTAAATCGAAATGTAACTTGATATTTCCCCCCGTGGCAATTGTTTCACACCACACAGCACTCGCGCAGACGTGCAAGTGCTGTGTTGGTCTCTCTCTATCCTGCAGGGTGTTCTCACTCGGGGGCTCTTTAAGTGATGGGAGAAACCTGGAGCTGTGGCTGATGCAGCGTTGCCCTGTTTGCTGGGGATAGTCAATGTTGGTTTTTAAATCCTTTATATTAAGTTCGCTTGCTTGCGTGCTTGCGTGCTTGCTTGCTTGCTTACGACCGTGCAAATCTTTTGGTCGTTTTTTAACCCCCTTCCCGTGATCCAATCGAGCTGACATTTTGCACACAGACTCGTGCGAGACAAGTAATGTTTGTGAAAAAATAATTTCTAAAATTTTACACTTCTTAGGGAAAACAAATTAAATATTTAATTACCAATTGTTTAATACTGGCAGACAATCATCTGACCCATAGGTGGCAGCCATCCCAAGCCAGAGGATGAGATGACTCTAGCAGCCACGCATATAAAGGATTTATAGTGAAAAACTTTGTTTTTACGGGTTATACTTATTGTTGATCTGGTTTCAAAAATCGGTGCCACTGGATGAAATGCAGCCGATGTGAAATGTAAACATTCTGCTGCTCAACGCAGGAGCACGTGACCATCAACTATGAGCGTGCATCCAAGTGTCCCTTGCAAAGGAGGTCTTTGACTGGTAGGAACCCACTGGTTGCACCAGCCCACAGGGGATTATTGTGTCCGTCCGTCGTGCAGGGAGGGGTTGGGTGGGGAGGGGCTG